CATGGATCGACATATGGAAAGAACACTAACTTTGGAAGCAATATGAGATGCTGGTTATTGATAAGAGCAGGATGCCTAATTTAATATGAAAATAGATCATGTTTGGAAGTTATGAGGGATATTTTAAATAGACAAACAGCAACCATTTTATCTTGCAAGTTCTCAAAATGAAAATGTAAACAGCTAATAACTTCTGTTCCAAATCCTGACTGTAACATACATAATAGTGTTCCCATAAGCTTTGATGTCTAGTCCTTGTAGTTTGAGGTTTCTCCTAATCTGTCTCATCTTTTTCTTTTTTTTTGTTATAAAATTTATAATTTAATAAATAGTACAGTTTGTCAAAATAACCTGTGGTTGCTTGTCCTTTGTTGGAATCTGAGGGGGGAAAGGAATTTTTTTCCCCCAGAACTTGTTTCCCCTAAAGATTGGTGTATTTGGAACACTAGCGTAAGAGTAATCTGTTTAAGACTTGTAAGAGAATAATGTATGATTTCTCCTTGTGCTTTCTTGGAAAGTACCAAAAAACATACTGTATGAAAATGAAACCATTGCTTTCAGAAGCTTTAATTTCAGAAGAACACTGCAAATATTTCTGTTAACTAGGTGAAGCTTCTTGATGTAGTGAAAGCATTGAACCAAGAGTTAGAAGGTTGAATCTTCATTCTGTTTGCTGCATAAACTCAATTGATCAAGTTCACTGGGTTTTAGTTTTCTTTATAAAATGAGAATGACAATACTTTGTACAGTATTTCACAGGGTTATTATGAGGAAGTTATTCTTATTTGTGGTTTCAGCATGAACAGAGGTCATATAGCAATCTCATAGGAAAATCCAAACCTGGACACAGATTCTTACCATTTGCCCTATGTGTGTTTTTTAGACGTGAACTTTAATTTTATTGGGTAAGCCCCATTGTCTCGATTGTTTTTTTCACCACCACCCCCTTGACCATAGTGAATGTATTTAGTTAGCTTGGTAATCTTGGATCTGGCACTGTAGCTGTTCCCATAACTTTAAGCAGTTCTGAATTTATTGCTTTTGCACTTTTCCTAACTCACATATTTAGATCTTAGACTTGACATTTTATACAGATATGAGATTCCCTTTTTTACATAATGAGTGGACCTCATACATGTAAATTACTTTAAAAGTCATCTTACTGTCAATCATGGATCTTTCTGATTATAATAGTTTTTTTATTACTGAAGCTTCATTATATTTGATCCAGACTTAGGAGATTAAAACTCCAGCAACAATTGAACCAAACCACAGAGGAGCCTCCTACCACCCTTTGAGGAAGTTTCTCAGCCTCTCTCATGGGATAGAGGCAAGCCTTCTGCAAGCAACAGTTTCCAGAATTCTTCATGAACTTCTGCTTGACTACTTATGACATTTTAACTTTCTGGTCTCTAGTTTCTATACCTACTAAATGTGACTGGATTAGCTGATCTCAGTTTGCTTCCAGTTCTGTACCTATGATCCTGTGACCTTCACTCGCAGGATCTTTGCCCAGATGGGACAGGATGGTTTGTCCTATCTCATCTGACTTGCCCTATTTCCACTGCTGAATGATGCCGAGTGACTTGGTGCCAGTGGAGACTTTTGATGTTTCCTTGTGCTCTGAAACAGTTACAGCATCTGGGTCAGACAGATTCAAAGTATTTTGATGCACTATTCCAGTGGTGGGGAACCTGTGGTCTCAAGGTCACATGTGGCCCTCTAAGTCCCCAAATGCAGCCCTTTGACTGAATCCAGACTTCACAGAACAAATCCCTGTGATAAAAAGATTTGTTCTGTAAAACTTGGTCTCAGACAAAAGGCTGCACCCAAGGATGTAGCAGGCCACAGGTTCCATACCCCTTCACTATTCCATCTCCTTTAAGATTTGATTTGGAATGGACCTGCCTGCCTTGATCACTTTTTAGAAGGTCTGGCAGGTCCTATCTGGAATGAATTGATGCTGGCGAAAGTAATTACAGACCTATCAGCACTCCTTGCAGGTTTACTAGAGTGGAGGTTTGATAAACCTGATAGGCATGGAATATTTGGATGCCAGCAAGACATTTGTCCGTGTTTCTCATAATAGCTTTGTGGATAAGATGGAGATGTGTAAGGTGTGGCTTATAGTACAAAATCCTACCTTAAAAACTGATCAGAAATTGTTATAGGCACAGAGTCTGGAACATAATATCTTTACCTGAAGCACCACTGACATCTTTCTCCCTTTGCCCTCATTTTGTTCAACATTTTTATAAATTATGTGGATAAAAGGATAGGTACTGCCTTTATATTGGAAGCAGGTGGTGGCACAGTGAATAATCACTGGCTGTGGAGTCAAGAAGACCTGAGTTCAAATCCCACCTAAGACATTAGCAGTGTGAACCTGGGCAAGTCACCTGTTTGCCTCAGTTTCCTCAACTATAAAATGGAGATAATTGCACCTATCTCTCATGGTTGTTCTGAGGATCAGATGAAATATTTATAGACACTTGGCTCAGTCTCTCATAGAATAGATACTATAAATCATTATTCCCTTCCCATATTCTTTTTTTGTGGATGACAAAACTAAGGGAGATAGCTAAAATACTGGATAATAAATCAAGATCTAAAAAGGTCTGGACAAATTAGGATGGTGAGCCCAAAACTAAAACCAAAAAACTGAACAGGAATAAAAGTTAAAATCTTAACATGTATTTTAAAATAACTACAGTATAGAAAGATGTGGCTAGGCAAGAGTTTATTTTATAAAAAAAGACCAAGGGAGATTATTGACTGAGTTTAAGCAATCAAGTTTGAAATGACAGCCAAAAAACTTGGTTTACTTTGCATTAATGGAAAACATTAATGGAAAACTAGGTTTGGAATGGAAGAAGTTGTAGTCCTATTGTAATCTGCTGAACAGGCTAAATGGAGTTCATTTCTGGGTGTCATATTTTAGAATGGAAATTGACAACTGGAAGCAAGTTCAGAGGATGATGAGGAACCTCAAAGCTGTGCCATGCCTGCAAGTACTAGTTGAAGGATTTGGGGAATCTACTCTGGAGTAGGTTAAAAAAAAAAAGACTTAGTGGGGAATAAGATAAGGAATATCACTAAGTTTTTGAAAGGCAGCCTTAAGAAGGTGGGATTAGTCTTGGTTTATTTGGCTCTAGGGAGAGTATACAAGGAATGCTGGGTAGAAATTGCAGGCAAGGCAGGTTACAATTCAAGTTAGTGAGAACTTCCAAACTTCTCTAGAGGCTGTCAGAACCCATTCTCCATTTTTGAGTGCATGAAAACTTGTTGGGACATATTGTAGCATATAGGTACTATATTCATTTATGGTTTGGACTAAATGATCCTGAGTTTCCTTCCAGCATACTTTCTGTTAAGATTTTTCCTTGATTCTCTTATATGAAGGCTAAAGTTTTTAGCCCTGTAGGTAATGTGGTATAGTCTTAACTGAATAGACATTAATAATACCAATATGCAAAAATGTTCTACCACTGTGAAATTAGCATTTTATCTTTCAGTAGGTTGGAGGAATCTACATACTTGGAGAGAATTTTTTTTTTTTTGTTAATCACTGGATCATAGATACAGACTTAGAAGAGACCTTAAAGACCACAGTGTAGCCTCCTCATTTTCCAGATTGAAATTGAGGCACAAAATGGTTAAGAGACTTGTGCAGGGTTACTTAAGTCACAGATAATTTCTAAAGTGGGATTTGAATTCTTTCTAATTCTAAAATTCAGTTTCCTATGTTACACAATGCTGCTGTTTTTGTACCGATTTCTTTTTGTTTGTTTATGCTGAATAAAATTTGATCTTTAACAAATCAAAAGGTATTTTATGATCTTACAGTGCTTTGGTCATTACTGACATTTTCAAGTTCTATCAAGAGGTAAGAGTTTGAGGGCAGTTAGGTGGCGCAGTGGATAGAGCACAGGCTCTGGAGTCAGGAGAACCTGAGTTCAAATCCAGCCTCAGACACATAACACTAGCTGTGTGACCCTGGGCAAGTAACTTAACCCCATTGCTTAGCCAAAAAATAAAATAAAGAGGTAAGAGTTTGGTTGTGTTTTGATTTTGACATACCTTTTAAATATTTTCCAGAATAAACCTGACATCAGATCATCTCTCATTAAGTTTCAAGAACTTTTTTCCAATTTTACTTAGGTTTTATTCCAAGTTTATTTAACTTGGATAAATTAATCGGGACTTATTTTTCAATTTTCTGGTCATATTTTACTATGTGGTACCATACCCTACTTAATTTTTTTCTTTTTCCCTGCTATCTCAGGCTTATTAGTGGTACTTAATTAAGCATTGCTTAATTCCACTTATGGCACTAGTGGTTAAAGGGGTTCCTGACCACTTCTCATTTGTCTTGTGATGTATATATAGCAGGAAAGTCAACCTTTTATACTGATAGTTAGCACATATTTTTTCTACCTTAAACATGTCCCGTAGAGATAGTTCTTTTAGATGGCATGTTAAGTATTAGAGCTGTACAGTACCTAAGTACTGTCCTTAGCCAAGTTAAATTTTAAGATATTAGGCGTCACAAAAATGGGAACCTGACAATGTTCTCCGATTCCAAACATGACAAATGTAAACAACAGGAATATTCAAACTGTATCAAACTACCAGTTAACCCAGTGATTCATGCTTATAGGTTACTGGCTTATAAACTAAATCTCCCAAATGTCAAGAGAAAAATGTGCCTTGCAGTACGGCAATCCTTTGCTTGTGAGAGTTTTATGGCTCTAGTAATCCAATGAATATTCATTAAGTACCCATTCTGTTGTTCCCAAAGGCATTTTAAGAATGAGACAGGTCATTTCCCAGTTCTTATATATTACAATTATTTGAAGATGGCCATTTCCCCAAATCTTACTGTTTTAGTCAGCCTATTCTTTCCTTACTAATGATAACACAACATAGTTAACTACAGTTTAGAAGCTGGTCAAATTAGTATCAATACTCAGTTGTAAAGATCTGCAGGACAATTTAAATTGATTTGTACAGATTTCTAAAAATTTTATTTTATTAATGTCCCTTGTTTCTTTTACACTAGTCATTAGTCAATATGCCCATGTCATCTAACTATCCTTTGTAACAAAGAAAAACAGCAAAACTAACAATTTAATTTGCCAGTATGTATGTGTGGGTGGGTGTGTATATATATACACATACACACACATACCCCCCACCCCCCCACACACATATATCCCCACACCCACACACAATATTTGGCAGCCATACCCACCCTACCTTAGTTCTAAGAAGAAAGAAATGTGTTCTCTTGAGGGTCCATAATATTGGTGGATAAGAAAAGAATGAAAAATAGTCTTTAGTCTTCTGATCTTAGTTGTTAAATGAAAAATAAAACAATTTTTGACAGTTTTCAGGACAACAGCATAATTCTGATTTAAAATATACTTTTAAACAGATTAAAGTAACAAATTCATAATTCCCATTTCCAACAGAAAAATTGCTAAGGCTTATTTATATTTAATACAATATATTATGCTTCTGTTTTTTAAACATTTTTGCAGTTGGAAGTGTTTGCAAAGTATCATGTTCTTTACAGACTACTTGTTAAATTTCATTTTTCTAGCAATAGCCTCCAAATTAGCAGGTCCACCCCAAAGTGTGCTTAAAACATCTCTTTCAGTCTCTAATGCCTCTTCTAAAGCAAGTTCTTTTCCTGAAGAAACTACAGTCTTCAAAGCTCTAATTACTTCTGGTGGACCACTGATAAATTGTTGTAGCCATCTCTGTGCTTCTTCTAAAGACTGATCTTCATCAGAAGATTGCAGAATCTCATCAGCTATTCCTATTTTCAGGGCTACTGTAGAATCCAGTTTGAGAGCTCCACCTAATACTTTGAGGGTTTGTCTACTGCCAATAATTTCAATCAGTCGAGCAGCTCCACCCCAACTTGGTATTATGCCCATTTCTTTATGGACAAATCTGATCTCACTTGATGGAGTCATTACCCTATAGAAGACAAAAAAAAAAGTTAAATGTGTAACCTAAATGTGTTTATTTTTAAAAAAAATTTTTTTTAATGTGTTACTTTAAATACTACCTCTGACACATACTGAAAAGTGAAAATCAAATATTTTTGCATTATAGGTAAGTTAAGAAAAGAATCCAAAATTATTAAATCTGTCTTCATTAGCTATGGATTCGATTCAGTACTTCATCCTAATAGCACAGTCCCATTGAAAGTAGTGCCGCATTTTAAAAAATAGTCTAATTTTTTTTTAAATGATAAACTTTTGTGATTGTTGCGTTATTTTCATTTAGTTTTAAGAGTATAATGGAGAAATGTAGAATAACTTTATAAATGTTTTGTTTAGATTACACAAGGAATATTAAGTATATGATATATAAGAAGAGAAAACTAGCAGTACTACTAGTCGGAACACAAAAAAACTTAAGACAGGATAGATCTTACTTCTTCCATCTCTACATTCACAATGATGGAATAACCCCTAGAGCAGGGGTAAATCACATTTTGACAAGGAGCCATTTAAAAATATTTCTAAAATTTGAAATCACTGAGGGAGAAGGAAAGAAAGAAAGGGCATGCCAAGAATTGTCTCAGGAGCACTGAGAAAAAAACAGGCTGACTAAATGAGCCTGTTATACCCCCTTTTCCACTATGAATTTATTTCCATAAACAATTTTCTCCAAGTATTATTGACCTATCTTTGCTGAAACAGCTGATCCCCACCAAGAATCTCTACTTCAGATTAATCTGAGGAAGCTATAATTGGATTAATTCATTCAAATAGACTTACCTGAGGAAATGTATTTAATAGTAGGGCAAAATATGTACTCTCTACCCCCTCAAGTTTCTTCACTAGGCTGATCTTGAGTGATTATGAATCTCAAACCCTGTAGTGTCTTGGTATCTGTTTAATAAATAGGAACATTTGGAGACCCCACCATCTACAGGGAGCCTATCTTCAATTTTGATTCTGCACCCAGTACACCCTCCATCTCAGCAGCACACATCTTGACTGATATTGTAAATCAGAACTGTGGTTCTATCAGTGAATCTTATGATTGTACCATAGTACAAAGAAACACCTTGTCAGAGAAAAGCCAGAAGGACTTGAAAGTCAGAGGACTTAAAGGGAGTCAGGAAAACTGGGATTTTTAAATTCACTACATTTTTCATTATATTTTATGATTAAGAAAACATGGTCTATAGAAAATTGTCTGCAAAGGTTTGCCTCTCCCTTTTTAATTTTCAAAGAAAGCCTTGAGACATGCATTTTGGTTATCATTAAAGTTTTTGCAGAAATGGGAAAGGCAGGCATGTGGGTTGGTAGCTGTTAGTGTTTTTTTGGGTAGCCCTTTTTGGGGAAATTAATGTTTTTTTTTTTTAATTCTTTGGTAGCAACTTTCCATCCTAAAATATTTTAAAATTCAATCTTTATTTGTCTTTGAAATTGTAGAGACTCTGGCACTGATTTCTTTGATGTGTCCTTGTCAGGTCTGCTGTTTTGATTTTATCATCCTATTTTCCATTTACTGAGGTGGCAGAATTCAGATACAGTGTTTCCACTGTCAATAACGAAAACAGATAACTAAAAATGTTGGCAAACATCCCTATTTTTTTGGTTACTTTGTTTTTCTTCCAGTTCAGTCATTAAGCATTTATCAAGCACCTATTATAAACTGCTGGTGATCCAAATGCAAAAGTGAGACAATTCCTGCCTGCAGGAAGCTCATATTCTGTTGTAGTTATGGAGTGTGGGTAAGGGAAGCAGGAGAACAAGACATTCACAGATAAGTAAATAAGGGATATATTCAAACTAAATTAAAAGTATGGGGCAGCGTCCAAAAAAGTAGGGATATAAGGAAAGACCTTTTGTAGGAGGTACAAATGCACAAAGCTGAGTAACAGAATGTCTTCTATGCAGGAAAGAGTAAGCAGGCCAGGGGAAGTAGAGTATAATCATCCTGGAAAGACAGAATGCAGCAAGTTTGTGAAAGGCTTAAAATGCCAAACATTTACATTTTATCCCAGAGGCAGCTGAGAGCCACTCAAGCTTCTTGAACACGGGACTGATAATGAGACTTGTATCAATTTGGTAGCTGGATGGAGGATGACATGGAGAAGGGAGAGACTTAAAGCAGGGAGACCAGTTAGGCAGCTATTGCAATAGCCCAGGTGAGAAGTGATGAGAGCTGGAGTTAGGGTGGTAGTATTGTGAGATATGGAGACCAAACTGGCTAAGAGGAGAAAGGTATCCTCAGCTATTTCTCACCATCATGGTTGTAATCTATACCTCTCTGGTTAATCGATCAAGTGAATTGAGAAAACAAAGAAAGGATGCTAGCCTTCCTGAGACACTAAATTAGCAGTCACTCAGAAGAACTGAGAAACAACTCTAAACTTGGTAAATATATGAGGATCTCATTCTGCTCAAAACTGTCCTAAAATATCTTTGAAATAGGTTTTCTTGTAGAAAAATATAAGGAAAATGAAATGAGAATCTTTAAGGATAGAAAAGCATTAGGTTTCCTGAAATCAACTTGAGTTAGTTTTTCTAACTCCTAATCAATCGGTGCTTTAGTCCCATCACCACCAAAAACAAACAACCCTTTCTTCCTTAGTTTTCCATTTAACCAAACAAAATCTTCCAACAGAGAACTTACAATAGTGTATTCAGCCACCCAGAGGGAATAGAAACTTTGTCTTAAACAGCTGTGAATGCCTAAAAGGGAGACTTCAGTGTTAAACTACTATTCACAGAGAAAAACAGCTATTAAATAACATCACTTCAAATTTAATTTTTCCCTTTCTTGTCTCCTAAAACTTCCTCTTTCCAGAATGTTGTCATGCTTCTTATTCAAAAAGATGAAGGGATATATTGCTCTTGTGTAAAAATAAGTTATATAATCTACAATAATGGTTGGTAAAAAAATTGTATTAAATAATAATGGTAATAAGAGGCTAAGGTAGTATCTATTTTTTTCCCCCAGGATTAGTAATGAGAGCATTTTGTTTTTTTAATAGTGAGCTTACTGTTCTCAATCATTTAAGTAAAAGATTATCCTTACATAATATGGCATCCTTATGTAATGCAAATGTAGAGCTAGGCACAATAGTCTTGAACATGATATCTAATACATTAAATCTGTCCTTGCACCACTATAGCTTGGTCTGCAGTTGATGACTATGGAAAGAAATACATAGAGAGAGGTCAATTAGGAAAAGCTACATGTGATTATTATTAATTCATAGTAAAAGTTACATTTTTTAAATTGTAGGGCAAGGAGTCATGACCACAGTAGTTCAAGGCTCTCACAACATAGAGGCAATATTCATTGTTTTAACTATTTTTTCCCTCATTTTTGCAAGATGGGCTCCTTTTTTGAACTGAAACCTCAGTACAGAGATGAAATAACGTAAAAGAAAATAAAATGTTTGTCTAGACAACTTGAATATCTGTCCCCTAGAAACAACTGCTTAAGGCTTGACATTAGATCAAATCTGGCCTCAGACATTTACTAGCTGTACAACCCTAGGCAAGTTACTTAACCCTGTTTGCCTCAGTTTCCTCATCTATAAAATGAGCTGAAGAAAGAAATGGCAAACCAGTCTAGTATCTTTGCCAAGAAAACCCCAAATGGGGTCATGAAGAGTCAGACACAACTGAAATGACTGAACAACAACAAAATTAAGTCTTTTAACAGAGCGTAATTGCATTGATGATTTTTATGAATAGCTTGACTCTAAAAACTGGGATGACTGTTCATTTTTTAAAACTGGATATTAAGGAATAAGGAAACTGAATTTTTAATTTAAAAATGTCTAGATGTTACATAAGCAAATGTTCAAAGGCATAATCAGAAAATAAAGAGAAACAGAACAAGAAGCATCCATTTTGAATAGCATTTCTTTGTCTTTTGTAAAACTCATTGAAGAGATTGAACTCTTTGCTATATTAGAAATGTCTTATTGTGGAATAATTGAATGTAAGAGATGGAAGAAACCATGCAGATCACCCAGTCCAATTCTCTTATTTTACAGATGAGGAAACTGAAACCAAGGGAGGTAACATGCTTTGCCCAAGGTCATAGAACCTTGTAAGCATAAGAGCTAGACCTGACCCTAAACATTCTAACTCCTGGTCCAGTCCTCTTTCCAACTTGCAGCATTTATAATAAATTATGGACAGTTTTTTTTGGGTGGGAGGGGGTCAAGTGGTGACTTTTTTACTGCTTTTGGGGGGGCAGGGGAGTGGTTAGTTGCTGGAAACAAAGCCAAATCCAATACCTACCTATAGGAATTGTCACATCTCACATGCCTGGTAACAGCTATTCCTTCTGCTCCTTTAAGGGGTCCTTTTACCCTTGTCATATTTCACATATTTCACATTTATTTTTTATAAGCCCCCTCAATGCCTTTTGGAACTTAGATGTGTTATAAATCCTATAAAAATCATAAAGTCATGATTTGCTGATACAAGGGAAAGGGGTATTTCTCATTGTCTTACTGTACTGCCTAGAAAGACAATTCAGATGCATTCATTCATTTTAATAAACATTTATTATAGCGCAGCTAGGTGGCACAGTGGATGGAGCACCAGCCCTGGATTCGGGAGGACCTGAGTTCAAATCCGGCCTTAGACACATAACACTTACTAGCTGTGTGACCCTGGGCAAGTCACTTAACCCCACTGCCTAGCAAAAAACAAAACCAAAAAATAAAAACATTTATTACTATGTGCGCCAGGCACTCTGTACTAGGCAATACAAAGATAAAAACAAAACAATCCCTGCCCTCAAATAGCTTGCATTCTATTGCAGGGAAAGAACACTGACATATTAAATAAATATATAAAGAAAATACAAGATAATTTTTGACTGTAAGGAGTAGGTCACTGAGCCATCAGGGTAGGCCTCATGTAGGAGGTGGCTCTAGACCTGAGCACTGAATGAAGCCAGAGATTCTATGGGTTGGAGATGAGAGT